TCTCCAGCTTTCAGCAGTTTGCCAATAGAATGCCTTCCCAGTTGTAAACCAGAGCAGCTCATGCCAGAACCAATTGCGATGGGGCTTTCAGCATCAGGACCCTCACCCTTTATGAGCAGGCTGAGCTCAAAGACGCCCTTGCCCGTGTCCCATGAGGAACCACGCCGCTTCTCTTCACCCTGACAGCGCGGATCAGTCGCCCCCATTGCACTCGCCCTCTCAGCACCGCACACCTCCCCATTTCCCAAGTCAGCATGGTGGGCACGGGCACAGAGGACAGCAGTGCTCCTCAGGCACCCCTGTGACACAGACAGCTGCCCAGAGCAGATGCTGACCCTCTTGTGAGTCCAGGCCGTGCGAGGCAGAAGCCGGCCCAGAGAAGGGGCTGCAGCCTCAGGCAGCTCCGCGCTGCAGCAGCCGGGCAGCAGCGGGACCCTCCCAGCTAAGGGAGGCTCCAGCCTCTGCAGTCCCTCCAGCCCCCAGGGGCAGGGCAGCGACCACAACAAGGCTGGCAAAGCCCAAGCATGAGCACTGACAGACACTGATGGGAAGAAGCCAGAGTGAGCCTGAGCCACGTACAAGCTTTTGCCCCCATTCAGGACACAACAGGATGGACTTTGAGATCAGCCCCACCGAGGTGTGGATCAGTGCCCTTTGTGTCCCAACAGGTGATGGTAGACACAGAATCCACTGGGCTCTCTTCTCAACTCTACCAGGTCTTATCTGAGAGCACAGCACTGGCAGCTGTTACGGGCAAGAAGCAGATTCATTGGGTTGTGCTGCAGAATCACAAAGGACTTCATGTGTTTTCTTAGAGACTGATCTGAGCAGGGCTTGGGCCAATGGGTAGGATTTTAACAGTCGTGGCAAAGAGTGGGAATCGGGTATGGAAAAGTGCCATGAATCTCAGGAATATACCATGGCTGGGCTGGAGGCTCTCTTCTGAGAAATGCCTGCAGTATAGTTTTATCTGATCTTGCCACTTGGATGTGTCTCTTGGACACACCTTGAAAAGCATAAAACTAGAAGATTAAATAAAAGTTGTTATAAAGATACTGCTTTTTTCTTTGGGAGCACGTGGAAAACACCTTGTGCTCTCTATTCGCCCTTTAACCTGAACTTCTTTCTAACTAGTTCTTATTGACAAAAAGATGGTATTCTCTTATTGACAAAACTGTAGCATTGTCATGAAAATAAACTGCAGATGTAGTAGTGGTAACAGTAATAAAAATGACATCAGTAAGATGTGGGGCAGAAGGGCTCTTTCAGGATGGAGAAAAACACAGCAAAAAAAACCCACCAAAAATAAACAGCATAAAACAACCCCACTCTCCCCCCCAACCCCCCCCCACCAAAATAATCCCCAACTAAAAAGACAAAACTCCAAAGCCAGTTCATTTCTCTGAAGTTTTTTTGCGCTGATGGCTGGTTGGAAGTCGGGAGTCTAAGGAGAATTTAGGAAGCTAAAAATTCTGTTCCGTTTGGCTACTAGCACACAGCACTTCTAGATCATTTGCTAGGTCACAGCCTTCTGCTGATGCAAGAACAATCCCTGCTTCAGCCTTCAGCAGAGAGGGAAGCTCAGGCAAACCCAAGCCAGTCCAAGGTGCCCTCAGAGGCAGCAGGAACACCCAGAGCGCTCTCTCGCTGCCTCGGAGCGCAGCGCTTCCTCTGGGGAGTCCTAAATGGCCCTGTGGCACCAAACTCAGGAGGAGCATTTGGTACAGCTCTGCTGGCACCTGCACACAGCACACTGTCCCTCAGACAAGAAACAGCCCAGACGTACCCAGCATCTCCAGGTACTTCTCCTCAGTCTGCTGTTCCAGGGAGATGAACAAACTGCCTGAGCTCGAGTTCCCAGGTGTCACAGAAGAGCTTCCTCGAGGTGATGCTGCTGCGGCAGCAGGTTCAGAGCCCATGATGTGCTGGACCTGGAGCATTTTTGGTGGGCACTGTTCCTGTGCCTCACTCCTAACTTGTAACTCACTCCTAACTACACGAGGTGTACTGGCTCCTTGGGGAGGCCCTATGGAGTCTGTTCAGATAAAGTGAAATTGCTTCAGAGATGGTAAATTTTAAAAAGAAAGGAGATGTATGGAATGGAAATGCTTGTAGTTGGAAGGAAAGGCAATGTTGGTTCCAGAGACAGTACAGTTTCTGTAGGATGACACACCTCCAAATATGTTGCTTCCAGATGCAGTATAGTATCTGCTGGGTGATTCGCCTTCAGACGCAGCATAGTATCTGCTGGGTGACGAAGTGAAGACTGAGTCGCTTCCAGACACAGTATAGGTTCCGTCGGGGGTCATACTACTGTAGTTTGAATCGGTTTCAGACAGACTGTAGGTATTGAATCTTGGACGTCCCCAGAATGCTGGAATAAAAAAAAATGAATAGAAGCAAATCAGGAGAGAATCTACATTTGCTGTTAAATAGCTCTGACAAGAGTAAGTGTTTGAAGTACTTACAACTGCTTGCTCCTTATCTTAATTGCTTATTTGAAAGACATTTCATATAAATATTCTATATTAATCCTTAATAGACAAAGGACATTAGCACAACTGTCTTGCCCTAGGAATTATTGTAATCACATGTTGTTTGAAGTTCTACATATTCTCACAGACATATTTTTCCCCACGTCCTTATAAATTCTAGGGTGTGGTTTTTAATCAAGGAAACCAACTTCTTCTATAGTTGGATAAAAATTTAAATCCCTGTGTTAGTTACACCACTTCTTTCTTGTGTGAAGAATGTGTCAGAACATTTCTCTTTGCACTAGGTGAATTGCTCCATTATCGTTATACTAAAGTGTTGCTGTATTTGCCTACAGAAGCTGTGTAGCGTGAAGGGAGATGCTGGCTAGGAAGCAACATCCCAGTGACTACAGTGACTGCTCTCTTGAAGAAGAGACTTACCAGCAGGACCAGGACCAGGAGCCGGAGCAGGACCAGGAGCTGGAGCAGGAGCAGGAGCAGGAGCTGGAGCAGGAGCAGGAACAGGAGCTGCTAGACATGAAAAGCGAAGCTAAATATTATTTCTTGAGTAAAAGTAAGATTTAAAAATCACAGCGATGCACATTGGAAATGGTTATGGTTGAAAAGAAAGGCTATTTAAAAATATAAATATTTTACAATAGAAAAATAGGAAAAACAATTCTGTTATTTAAAAAAAAAATCTTTAAAAGAAGCAAAGAAAGAAAAAAATTAAAAATCAAACACCCACCCACCCACTTCAACAGGTCCTGAAAACTAAAGGGTCCAACCAACCAAGCACCCAAACCCAATGTAAAACCAAAACAAACCCATAAGTATAAAGAGACCAACGGAAAAAACTTTCCAATAATAATTTTAAACCCTGTGTTAGCTTCCACCATCCTATTTAACTTCTCTAAAGAGATCATAAGATTTCTGTGCACTAGGTGTAATGGTCCATTTTGTTTACAATGAAGTGTTGCTGTATTTGCATACAGGAGCTGTGTAACATGAAGAGAGATGTTGGCTAGGAACCCACATCCTAGTGACTGCAAATTGCTTGAAAAAGAGACTTACCAGCAGGAGCAGGAGCCGGACCAGGACCGGGACCAGGGCCAGGAGGACCAGGAGGTGTACGAGCCGCTTGGGGTGAAACATGAGACTGAATATTATCTCTTGAGGAAAAATAGGATTTACAAGCCAAGGAAATACACCCATTGGAAATGGTTATGGTTGAAAAGAAAGGCTGTTACACAATATGAATGGTTTGTAATAGAAATAAAGGAAAACTACATTTGCAATTAAAAAAAAAAGGAAAAAGCATGCAAGCATGCAATTAAAAGAAGTAATAAAAGGAAAAAAATCAAAATGCAAACACCCACCGCAAACAGTCCCCTAGGATGTGGGCTCTCAACCCACATCCAAATCACTATAATGTTTTCACAAGCACACTTACCACCAACAGCAGGAATAGGAGCACAAGGTGTACTGGCTCCTTGGGGAGGCCCGATGGAGTCTGTTCAGAGAAAGTGAATTTGCTTCAGAGATGGTAAATTTTAAAAAGAAAGGAGATGTGTGGAACGGAAATGCTTGTAGTTGGAAGGAAAGGCAATGTTGGTTCCAGAGACATTACAGATTCTGTAGGATGACACACCTCCAGACATGTTGCTTCCAGATGCAGTAAAGTATCTGCTGGGTGACGTACTGAAGAATGAGTTGCCTTCAGACGCAGTATAGTATCTGCTGGGTGAGTTGCCTTCAGACGCAGTATAGTATCTGCTGGGTGACGTACTGAAGGCTGAGCCGCTTCCAGACACAGTATAGGTTCTGCCGAGTGTCAGACTATGGAGGCCTGAGTCGGTTCCAGATAGACTATAGGATCTGCTGGGTGATGAAGTGAAGACTGAGTCGCTTCCAGACAGAGTGTAGGTTCCGTCGGGTGTCATACTGCTGTAACCTGAGTCGGTTTCAGACAGACTGTAGGTATTGAATCTTGGACGTCCCCAGAATGCTGGAATAAAAAAAATGAACATAAACATATCAGGAGAGAATCTACATTTGCTGTAAAATAGGCCTGACAAGAGTGCGTATTGTAAGTTCTGCCCCCTCTGCCCAATGTCCCTCACCCAACAGATGTTCCATAGAAACCACCTGCCCGTCCGCATCATGAGATGTTGAAGGACTCCCCCAGAGATTTGGGAGAGCCTCCAAGATCTCCCTCCTCCACTCTGCCACCCAGACCCGGAATTCCATGGGTCTAGTAAGGCTGGAGAAGAGGGCTCTCAGGTCCGCAGGCACCAGATCTCCCCGCGCAAGGGCATTGCGGAGCATCCCCCGGAAGTACTCAGACTCCCGGGAGTAGTCCTTTTGCGCCTTGCACAATTCCTTGATCTGGGCTTGTGCAAGTGGCACCCATTGGGCCTGAGAGCTCCCGTCCCCGCTGAGGTGGTAGGTGACCGGAGCGGCTTCCAATAAAGGCGCCTGCTCCGGCTTCCGGTCATCCATCCCCCCCGCCCCCGGAACACAAAGCGTGGGAACCGGAAGGAGGAGCGTGGGAACCGGAACTGGAGGAGGCTGAGGCGGGACATAGCAGTGGGGCGGGGCGAGGGAGTGGGCGCGGCACACCACCCCTCTCCGCCTCCTTGGTGGTGTTTGGAGGCGGAGCGGAATATGACGGCAGAGCGGGGGAGGAGTCAACCGGGGGCGGAACTGGAGGAGGGAATTGGGGAGGAGCCGGAGGAGGGGCAGAGGGTGGAAGTGTGGGAGGAGCAGAGGGTGGGGAAATGGGTGGAACGAGGGGAGGATACGAAGGGGAGTGCACAGGAGGGGCAACCGAAAAAGGGGTTGGGCCAGGGGGAAAGAAGGGGTTGGGGTCAGGGCGAAAAGGATTGGAGGAGGGAGCCCTGGCGGGAACGGCCGCATGGCCGCCGCCATCTTCAGCTCCAGGGGAGTTATTTTGGGAGGCTTCAACAAACCGAGAAACTGGTGGATCAAGAATTGGGGGCTTGGGCACTGGGGCAGAGGGTGGGGGTAGAGAAGGAGCCTGGCCAGGGCTCCTCGAAGGGGCAGGCCGAGCAGGTCGAGGGGGAGCAGGGGCAGGATGGACCCCCTGCTTCCGGTCGGCCTTTGAGATCCCCCTCGAGGGCTCCTGCCTACGGGAAGCGGGTAAGGTTTGAGGGGCAAGGGCAACAGAACGAGGGGAACGAGGGGATAAACTGGAACCAGTGGAACTTTTCTTAGGCTCCCCAGTCACGCGGAGTACAGCATGTACTCTGCGTGCCCAATAAGCCACGGTGGCCAACTTGTCCTCTCCGGAATTTATGGCCTCGTCTAATTTGGCTATAACAGCTTCCCAATATCGTGGCTGTCGTACAAGTTCCGGAGAGGTCTCGGGGAACTTAGAAAAGATCCACCTAACTAAATACTTCAACGCCTGCTTAGGGGGCTTCTGCCCACCCCCAAGCAGCAAACCTTTACCAATATAATAAACCTCCTTTTGGGATTTCCCCAAGCCAGCACCCATGGCACCTTTCTAGAGCAGGAATTGCCGCACTAGAAAGGGGGGAAATCCTCTGGTGGCTCGACCACCTGCCCAGTGAAAAAAACGGAAACTAAAACAGCAATTCGCCAGACACCGGCCCCTGCACCCTCCCACCGCCCCAAGGTCCGAGACGGCCGGAGGGTAAAAGGGAGATTTGGGAATGGGTCCGGGCCCCACGTCTGGGGAAGCCAGCACCCGTAGGAAAGGGAAAACAAGAAAGGCACAGGGACGAGGAAATTCCTCAAGGGAAAAAGGCAGGGGGTAGGTCCCCAAGGCAGGGCATGTACCCCTAGGGAAGTGTAAAAAGGCAGGGGGGAAGCCCGGAGAGTCCCCAAAGCAGGGCCCGGACTTACCAACCCGATGACGGCGAAAAAGAAAACTGGGCGATGATCTCCGTCCCTGGAGTCCTCCTCTTCGGATGCCGAGGGTTGGGACTCCAATCCCCGGGGAGCGCTACCCCTAAAACGGGGTCTGCTACCACCCGGAGTAGAGTGACGACCAACTGGAGCACTGTAACTCCAACTCCGCGGGGTCCGGTCGGTGGTCAGCTGTCCACTTCGTGCCCCACGTTGGGCGCCACCTGCGCTAGAGCGTACGTGGCCCTAAGGTCCGGCTAGCAGAGGGGATGAGATCGGCCGACGCCCCTGCCCATGGAAGCCAGCCCCCTTTGGCGTCTTGGCCTCAGGCTGGGCTGGATCGCGGAATCGGCGACCTGGCGCTAGATGGGACGGAATAGGAGGCGACCAATTGGGAGGGTTCAACGTCAGTTTATTGAGAGCAGTCAGCAGAATGGCAACCAACAGGTGTCGTAAGGAACCCACAGCAAGTGGCCAGGAACAGGGGGAGCAACCATCTTTTAAAGGGAAGGGGAGGAGAAAGGAGGGGAGCCCAGCAAACCAATCGGAGAGCAAAAAGGGTGGTGTGATACGTAACTGACCTGAGTACATAACCAATAAACATAAAGCGAAGGAGGGGCCCCTGGACACCAGCCAATCCCGACCCCCAGAGAGAGGAAAGTTCTAGAAAGCTGGGAGGAGTGGGGGGTGATTGACTGATCCCAGGGAGGAGGAAAAACTTACTTATAAGGTGGTATAGGGGAGGAGAAGTTACATAACATAGGAGATTGGCAGCTGAGGGGGAAGGGGGTAACTGCAGCGATGCCGCGGCCGATAGCCCTGTGCCTGGCTAGCTGAGAGGGTGGCCAACAGCCCCACTGCAGTAGGGGGTGTCAGTCCCGGTGGCAAGGCCCCAGGACTGGCAGCTTCAGGCACCCCTCGGCGGTATAAGCCTCGGGCTGTGCCTGCAGGACGAGGTTTCGGTGTGCAGCTGCGAGGCAGGGCGGAGAGAAGCAAGAGCCGGACACTCTCTGGGGTTGAAACTGGTTTAATGTCCCAAGGGACGACCAGCAGGGGGTGACGAACTGGGAAGGACCAGCAGAGAGTGACCAGGAAAAGGGGCAGAGCATGGGATTATAAAGGGAGGTGGTAACTGGGGGAGGGGTTTACAGAAAACCAATCGGGAAACATTGGGGGATGGATTTAACATAACAGACATGAAGGGAGAACCAATAGATACATTGTATAGGAGGGGCCCCGGGACCTCAGCCAATCACTACTCCCACTGAAGGGAACCTTCCAGAAGACTGGGAGTGGTGGGGAGTGATTGACTGGGCCCAGGGAGGAGAGAGAATTATACATATTTGGAAATATGGGGCGGGGAAGTTACATAACAGGGGGATAACCATAGCAATAACATAACGGACAGAAACTGGGGCGGGGAAAACAGGGAGGACAGAACCATCGTAACAATTGGGGGAGAAATGGAACAAACTAATACACCGCAACATCTCCCCGTTTTTTGTTAAATAAAATTGAAAAGAACGGAAAAGTCTATTTTTAAAGTTCAAAAAGCTGGATTCCGGGGCTGGTCAGTCCAGGAGATCTCGTCTTCCTCATATAGCTCCTGGTGGTACGGGGGAGGTGCAGAGGGCTCCTCTTCTTTCGCGGCTCCATCTGCCTCCGAAGAGTAGTCTCCCACCTCGGTAGATCCTCCCGTTTCCACCTGGTTGACGCTCGGTGCTGTGATCTTATTAATAAGTCTTTGGACCAGCCCACGGACCAGCGAAAAGCAACTCAGAAGTAAAAACAAAACTAAAACAAGCTTTAAAACAGACTCTAATAGAGAACCGTCGCAACTGCTACACCCCCAACCCTTAAAAATGTCCCTCAGCCAGTCTGATGTCTCTTGCTTCATCTAGTGGACTTGGTCTTCCATACGCAAGATGGTGTGTCTGACGTCCTCAGCTCTCGATGATAAATTCATGCAGCAGAGGCCGTCAAACTCCTCACATCGGTGGTGATGGAGCAGCAATAGAAAATCTATTGCTGCCCTATTTTGGAGTGTCGCCTTCGTTGTTAATTCCTCGTCTGTAAGGAGGTCGTATATAGCAGCCGAAGTCAAATTGGCTTGTTTAACCACCCAACACTCTAGGCGGCCCAATTCGCCTAGAGATTTCGCCACTGATACCCACGGTAATAGAATGGTAAAAGCGACAGTTTTGGAATGAGACCAATGAGTAATTTCGTCATCACAGTCTTCAGGGAGATCTTTGAGATCTCTTTTAGACCTAGCCAATTCTGCTGTGATGTTTGTCCTTTTCCAATTCACAATTTGAGTCATGTTGGGGGTAAACAGCGTCAGCTTGCCAAATGTGCACGGCCCTCCGACCAGACCAAAGGGGATGCCTGCCCACGCTCGGTCGCCACAAATTAAAAAGATTCCCTTAGGAAGGGCATATGGGGTGCGGCCAGTGGTGGTGGGGCCACAGATTTTTAAAACTGCCTTGCACCATTGGTAAGCTTGATATTCGACTTTATTTTGTTGAACTACTTCACTGCCCTTCTCTACGGGGGAAAAGGTGTGCTCAAACTGAAAACAAATAGAGGAATTGGCCGAACCGAGTAGATGGAGTTCTGTGGGCTCGGAGGGTGAAGGATCCAGCCTCACCACTCCGTCTCTCCAGGCGTTGCTAGAGTCGAAACTAGGCAGGATAGTGAGGCTCCGGGCCAAAATAGGGGAAAGGGCTGGCTGGAAAGCGGAGGGGAACTCGCCTGGAGAGAAAGGGATCCCCACAAGGCATGACAACATCGGGTCCTCTGCTGATCCTGCGTCGAGGCAGATATGGTCTTGCCCCAACGCCTGAGCCAAGGTACGCCAGACATTCACCTTCGGCTGAGGGACGATCCATGTTGCCCATGGTGGCAGGAAGGAGCAGATGATCATGAAAAACAGGAAAGCGCTCAGGCGCTGCCACAGATGAGGGCTGAGCTGGGCCATAGTGAAGAAGCAGGGACCAGAAAACTGGAGATGAACTGAAAACACAAAACAAACATTGTTACAATGCAAATCCCTCAAAAAGATGGTTCTGTCCCAAACAATAAGTTGAGTTCGGAGGAAGAGTCTGAATTCGGGGAGGAAGGTCGGGAATCAAAAACAACACAAAAGGGAGCATGAAACAGAGAAGGAGAGGAAGGGGACTCCGACGAAGGAAACCTGTCGAGTAAATAAAAATGAGAGAAGGTGGAGGGTTTCCTCCTCCGCCGCCAACATGCCTCTTGTACCTGTGGTACAGCCTCAGTTGTTTTTGCCTGCCTGGGATGGAAGGGCTTGACCCATTTAGATGGTATCCATTTTGGTCCTGAGGGAGTGGACACGCAAGCGCATCCCCTCCCCCAGGTGACCAGGTCAAATGGCCCTTCCATCCGCCAGGTCTCCGGGTCTCTTATGAGAACCGGGGGCCTGGCTTTCGGCTGCAGCTGTTGGTGACTGCCAAAGTGCCGGACAACTGGAGGGTTCAGGTTGTCGAAGGAGCAGTTTAGAAAGTTGAGAGTATACAAAGCTCTCGACAACCGGACGTGGGGGGTCTCCACCTTCACTGCCGCACGCCGTTTTTCTAAGGTCTTTTTCAGGCTCTGGTGGGCCCTCTCCACCATGGCTTGGCCTGTCGGGGAATAGGGGATGCTGGTCTTGTGCTCTATTCCCCATTGCTGCAGGAAGCTCCGCAGCTCCTTGGAGGTGTACGCTGGGCCGTTGTCTGTTTTTAAGGCCCTAGGGATGCCCAGGACAGCGAACGCCAGAAGCAGATGCTTCTGGACATCCGCTGCCCTCTCACCTGTGTGGGCAGAGGCAAAGATAGCTCCCGAGAAGGTGTCAATGGAGACGTGGACGCAACACAACCTCCCAAAAGATGGGATGTGTGTCACGTCCGTCTGCCACACTTCACAGCTTGCCAAGCCCCGGGGATTCACCCCAGATGCGATGGTGGGCATCTGATGGGCTTGGCATTGGGGACATGTGGCACCAATCGCCTTGGCCTGGTCCTGCATAAGATGGAATTGCCTGACCAGACCTGGCACATTCTGATGGAAGCGCTGATGGCTGATCTTAGCCTGACCGAACACATCTGGGAGTGGGCCCATCGTAACAGCAGCCGCGGCCAAAGAATCAGCCCGACGGTTGCCCTCAGCGATGAACCCAGGCAGGTCGGTGTGTGATCTTACATGCATCACAAAGAATGGATGCTCTCGGTGGGAGACCAATTCAACTAGCCTTGAGAGCAAATTGAATAGCTTTTGATTCGAGACCTCTTGCAGAACTGCTGACTCTGCTCTAGATACTACACCAGCCACATATGCAGAATCTGTTACCAAATTGAAGGGACCAGGAAACTTCTCAAATGCCCGGACGACTGCATCCAACTCAGCAACTTGTGGAGAAGCCTCCACAATGGCAACATCAGCCTCCCACCGCTGAGTCTGAAGATCCTTCCAAGTCATTACTGACTTGTGGGATGCTCCGGATGCGTCAGTAAACACTGTCAGAGCATCTAGAGGCTTCCTGCTCTGAATCCCTTTGATAGATAATTTAAACTCCGAATTAAAAAGTTTGTGGGCCGGCCGATCAACTGCAACGCGGCCAGTGTACCTATCTAAAGCAAATTGCAACATTTCGTTGGTTTCAAGCAGTTCATTGAAAGTCTTTAATTTGAGTTGGCCCGAAACCAATTGAATTGGGAGATGAATACATGTAAAATCACAGCCTGCCAGCTCCCTGATCCGAGATCTTGCCTTTCGGATCAGTTCGGCTATCAGCTCTTGTGGCCTTGTCATTCTTTTGGACCTATGGTGGCTGAGGAACACCCACTCTATGATCAAGAGGGGGTCACCCAAACCCTGGTCCTTTAAACTCTTGTCCCATTGGTGGATCAAGCCGTGAAGATGTGGCAGTTTCCCCAGAATTATAAATTTGAATGGCAGGCCCGGATGGTAACGGTGGGCCTGTCTGGCCGAAATGGTTTTTTGCACCCTCTCCAGGGCTACCTGAGCCTCTGGGGTGAGTTCCCTAGGAGAACTCAGCTCCTCTCCCCCTTTCAATAAATTGAAAAGAGGGGCTAGGTCTTCAGTTGGTATGCCTAGCCAGGGTCTCACCCAATTTAAAGACCCACACAGCTGATGGACATCCGCAAGGGTCTGGACTGAAGTCCTTATAGCCAATTTTTGCGGAACAATGGTCCGCTTCGTAATTTCAAGG